GTGTGAACAACGATTTCCACATACCTATGCGGGGAATCGAAGAATTGGAAAATTATCATTAGTAAAAATTGAAGTTCAGATTAGAGCTGGCTTTGAAGTTTTGGAAATTCGTGAATTTCCTGTGATATAGTTATTTGCTCTGTTCACACCTTTTTGAAAACAGCTATAAATATTTTTCGTTGCCTTGCTGAATTTTTATGGGAAAAAGACGAGGAAATTTCGGAAAAACAAATTATAGGCGGCAGAATACCTGAAACAAATCAACTTACTATAAATAACATGATCTTTAAATATGTCACAACATCCAATACTCTGAACATCCAATACTCTGATTTTTTATTAATTAAAAATGATCGCATACAATAATACATACCTTGTTAACGTTAATGTAGTATGTGGTGATCATTCTAGAAATAAATAAATATATATATAATGAATTAATTTTACTCCTTTTTTTGTGAAGCATTTTCTAACGTTAATAAAAAAAAACAGTAAGGAGAAAAGAAAAAGAAAAGAAAAATGGTGCATGATAATGTCATCTTTTCAGAAATAGCAGGATTCATATCACTAGCTTGTTGGATAGTGGTCGGAATTCCGTAAGTGGTCAATAACATAGAATTAATCTCGACAATGAACGAAATTTAAAGAGACTTTATTTTTGCACTAGACAACTTTATGAAAACTATAGGCGAAAGTCAGGTGATTCAGTGTCACTACTTTTCGTCTATATATGGATTACTGCTGATGTATTTAATTGGGTCGGTGCTATTTTACAAAATTTAATACTATCAGTGGTAAGTTGTAGTTAATCATCCTGCAAAAATATTACATAGTCTTATCCATGATCAAATTATTTGATACATAATCTCACATGAACCTATATAAGAAAATTCAGTTCATTCTAATGTGTGATATTAACATTATAGATTATAGTTGCAATATATCATACCGCAATCAGTTTTTCAATCATGTTACAAATCTATTATTATCGTCTTCGTAGAAAGTATAAAAACTCTAGCTCTGAGAAAGGAGTACCTCCTCTGCAACCAATGCGCATTGACTCACAAACATCAGTGTATCGATCAAGGGATAAAGAAATCTTGGAAACTTTAATGGCACTCATTGGAGTTTTTGTTGCTGGTGTTATTATGTATTGTATTTCTACTCTATTTAAAAATCATGATTTGGATGGAATGGGTGAAAAGAATGATCAGCTCCACATGGAATTACTACCACAGATTTTGGGTTGGTGTAGCACTATACTTTATCGTAAGTTTTCTTTAATCATAGATGTGAGGATCATTATATAATAAATACAGTATATACTAATACCATATGTATTGCATGTACTGTATAATTTATATTGTGTAATTGACATTGAATTTTAGTCAGTTCAAGAATTCCTCAAATTATTAAAAACCATAAGTCACGATCTACTAATGGATTATCATTGGCCATGTTCTGTTTTTGTGTTTTGGGAAATGCTACATATTTTTCGGTATGTATTAAGGGTAATAATTCTTCTGGTGACTTAAATATTCGTAATCAATAAATTCTATACATATATGTATATATTTTTTTTACAGTCAATAATACTTTACTCAACGGAGTCTAAGTACTTACTCATAAACCTTCCCTGGGCGTTAGGAACTATTGGATCTTTATTGTTTGATGTTATTGTAAGTTTTAAGCATTTGTATATATATATTTTTTAAAGTTTTAGTATTAATGATATTCGACTAATATCTATATACTTTAATTTCTATATTTTTATAATTTCAAAAAGATTTTAACTCAGTTCTATTTTTACGGAAGCAGAAAAACTGAATTTAATTCAAATAGATCTTTTTAATCCCAGATACCGTAAAATATCACAATTTTTTTGTATAACATTTAATGTACTTTATAAATGACAAAATAAATTTTCATCTATATTAGCCTCATAATACAGTATCAAAACACTCATAATATCTTTCTCCCTAAAGATAGGTTTAATATATTTTGCATTTTATTTCATAAAATTTTACCAAGTTTAGTAAATATATTTTTTCCACGATATGTATACAGTGCGGGACAGCATAAACCAACACCTTTTTATTGAAAACGGCCAAATTTTAAAATTACATAATCAATTTTGATTGGCTAATTTTCATATAA